TACGAAATATGTTCGTTTTCAAAAACGTGGTTTTAAGTCCTTGAAAAAAACTAAGTTGAATTATCTTATAATATACAGTACGATGCGCCGTCACCGCCTCTTTCCAACAGTGAAAACTGCAGCTCTTGGGTTTGCTTTTATCAAAAGTTATTCGAAATATATCCACCCGTCTGCTTTTTTGAAATGGACATTCATTTCTACAGATACAAATCTTCGTTTAAAATTTTTCTTGTAATTTTTAACACCTAGATTTCTTTTATACAAGCTGTTCAGAATTTTATCATGATTTATGATAATAGAGAGATGCAAAAGTTGAAGTTCTATTTTCGATCTAGACGATTTTTCCTTATCGATGAAATTAAATTAATGAGTAAAGAACAAAAAAAAAAGAGTCACTTCTGACTAATGAAAATGATACTTACTAAAAGTTTTTAAATGCAAAAATTCAGAATACAATATTTTTTTTTCTTTTATGATGTCTTTTACACTTTTATATGGTAATAAAATATATATATATATTGATTATATCGTAAGACTATAGTCATCTGAAGATCACAACCTGCAGTAATAAATATTAGTTTGACAGACGAAAGCTATTAACATATAGAAGTGTTAAATCATTTTATACATTCATGATTACATATTTCTTTAATGTTTCTTTTTACTTATATATAATATCTATGATTTGCAAATCGCAATATAATTAATTGTTCGTATATATGAAATTGAATTTGCTTTATAAACTGAATGTTTACTAGCAATATGATGTTGAATATGACAATCATTCAGTAAGATGGTCAAAAAAAAGAAATTGATACAAGTTAAAGATATGCTCATTTTTTGTATAAAATCCATTATTATCAATACAATTATATAGTCTATTGTATCCTCAGGCAAGTATCGAAGTACGATGTCCAAATAAGAACAAATCGTTTTCAGGATTGTGAACGCATGTGCGACAAGAATTTTTGTTTTTTCCGAATGATGATTGATTAGATTTACTGATATTAAAATAGAATCATTGAAAAGAATTTGCTATTAAAATATGCCCTATCTAGAAATTATCCTATTCTTAGAAATTTATTAAAGAACATCGGCTAAATGATTTATTGACAAAAACAAGAAAAAAAAGAAATTATTATCTTCAAATAGAAAATGTATTAGAACTATTCATGAACTGAGAACTTTATAACTTATAAATTAAATTTTGAATGAAGAATTTTCTCATATTATTACTGTATATTGTTTTTATTTTTTTTTTGAAAACTCTATTGACCCGAAGATGTTACAATGTACTCTACTGTTTCTTTTTTCAAGTAACTCACGAATGCAAACAATTAGAAACCTACGATTTTCATCAATCGATCTATAAAATATACGATTTTTTATTGAAATTTATTCATTATCTTATCTTCTAGTTTTAAGTAATCTGAAAATAGATGCAAATACAGTTAATTAACTACAATAAATTTCTTAGTAACCATCGTCGTTTCTAGAGAACACTTAGTGAAAAATAACGAATCTAGTAAACTTCAATAATAATGGTATATCTCTTGAATTGCAATAACTATAAAAAATTGGGTCTATATAGATCGATAGAAAATACTCTAGCCTATGTATATTCATAGTACAACAATTAAAGTATTATGATCTTATAAACGAATCTTTAAGATATATAGTATCATTAAAATATAACTTATTCTTGATTCTTTCATTTTTCTCTATCAATTGGTGAAAATCGCATATCTCTAGTTGTTTGTAATCATTGAACATAGAACTTTCCTATATATAACATTTAACTAATAAGTTACAGACAAAATAACATGATAAATCAAATTCTACATTGATCTATTACATATTCATCCTTATTATTCATAGGAAAGATTCATGATATTTAATCTTATATGAAATAATGTTGTTATTGAAGCAACGTAATATATTGTTCATGCATTACAAATTAACAATATGAGACAAAATTTTATATTGTTCTATAGTATCATTTAATATAGACAATCATAATACTTGACCTTTAATCAAATACAATTCATATATCAAGGTGATAGATATCTAAGTAAATCATTAAATAGTAATATGATGAGACAAAGTTTTTTTTTTTTTTTTACTGCTCTGTCATATGTCCTCGACAATGATCCTAGATAGATACTCATGACATAAGACCTTGATGATAAATATATTAATAATTGAGGCAAACAACATTTGGTAACAATAATATCAATTGACATCATAAAACAAGTTTTATATTCATCATTCTATCATTTAGTACATATATATTCAACATACTAAATCTTCAATCGAACATAATTGACATGGAGGACGTATAATATATGACTAAAAGTATTATATAATAATAAACTAAGACAAGTTCTTGACTTTATCTATCTTATATTATTATCATTATCATTCAACACAGAAATTTATGATGGCAAATCTTATTTACATGAAATTGGTGCTGAGGGTATTTAATATCCATGGAATACAATAGAAAATATTACGATAAGACACATTATATTTTCTTTTTTTTTTAATGAATCTGTCAAATGTTATTTAATACAAGAACTTATAATGCTAAATAAAATTAACTGTAAAATGATCAATTTACATTATATATATATATATTGCTAAATAATCAGGATATAATATATTCTCTATGTAACTGTCAAATATGTACTACTATCATTTAACATAAATAAACATATCAGAGCTCTACGTGGGATGGGATAGAACGAAAAATATGGTCATATGGGATAAACTATGGCGAATTGTTTCATGTAGGATAGAACTATCTTCAAATATTTCGTCCCATATGGAATGAAAGAGTTTCCATCTCATCTATCCTATGGGATTTCATGCTCGTCAAATACCAATAAAATGTCTAAATACATCCATCGTTTCTATTAATGATACTAAATTTAACATCATACACATTATCTAATATTGAATCGAATAACAATCAAACAATGAAAGTATCAAAATGAAATCGAGTAATCATTCTAATCTCAATTGCAATTTGATCTATAGCTTTCAAATAATATCGATTGTATATTTTATTTCATACATTCTTCAATCATTGTGATTTATGTTTTTGAATTTTTCGTCTAACAAGAAAATCTGTTTAGATATTAAATCAGTTTTTTGACTGAGATAATATTCATTTGATGAGTAATAGGTAAATCTAGGATAGTGTTTGCCTTTCCAAGCTTGTGTTCTCGAGATGGATTGTTTAACAAAAAAGCTGTTGTCTTCGTCAGAATGCATAGAAAATCGACTTTCGATTTCGAATCTTGCACAAAAAAAAACTCTTAATAAGATTAATTGAGAATGCAACTAACATGTTCTTTCTAAAGATATAAAGTTCGAAAACAAAATTTACTGTTACATATGAGAAAATTTCGAATATTCAATATAGCAAGATAGAAGATACTAGAAAAATTACAACTTGCATAATGAACTAATCTCATCATGCAAAGTTTAATGTCAATAGTCGATTTTTCATATGATCCAAAGGCGTGACTTTTTTGCTCGGAAACATATTTCTTTATTCAAAAATCATTGGATATGACGTACAAAAGTATTTTTTCGATGAAAAACGCCTGAGAGAAACCGTCGCTTTCATTTTTCTCGAGAAAATTTTTTCTTCAAAGTTTCTTTGTGTTATTTATCATGCGATACAGTTTAATACAGGGATTTGTCGATTATATATTTTTCCAAGCCTAGAAAAAATTCCTAACTGAGTTCAAAATCATTTGGACTCATCGTGTACATGTGGAAAGACATTATATTGAGCACGTCTTTTTCGGAAAACAGCTTAGTGTAGAAAAAAAAGTTTTTTTATATGAATTGATAGAGCGAAACCGCTGGTTTGAGGATGTATATGGACTTTTAGATCGGTGTCTATAATCATCAAATGAATATTGTGTCGGTAGTAGGGATGTACCGAGACTGAAGACTTCCTAACCAAGAACGAAATTTTTCTTCGGCAAAAACTCCCGAGACTCTACGAGATTTTTATTGAGAATTGCTTAGCTTGATTTCATCTTGCAGGAAACACAACCGGATAAATGGGTCGTGAAAGTAAAAGGTCAAGTCTCGGTCAAAATTTTGCTTTTTTCATTTATTCGACCGAAACTTGCCCTGTCTATCTGGTTGTATTTCCTGCAAGATGAAATCAAGCTAAGCAATTCTCACTAAAAACGTTGTAGAGTCTTAAGGGTTTTTGTCAAAGAAAAATTCCGATGCCAGTTAGGGAGTCTTCAGTCTTGATACAACCCTAGTCGGTAGAAAAATGATTTGATATTTGAAGAGATTTCCAAGTAGGTACCATTACCTCAATTCAAGATTCCTGAAGTCAGCAATAAATTGAAGCCCGAAAAATGCACACGGCAATTCTGAGGGTACTGGGCGATGTGGGGCTGGAAGTTTGCTAAGCTTAACAGGATCCGTTTTGTTTTCTAACCTTCATCTATCGTATCCTCAAAATGAATAACTTGTTACAAATTAATTTCTATATCAATAAATTTGTGATTTACATCTAAGCATAAAATCCATTTGACAATCAAATTGAGTAATACTAAATTAAATAGATATTACCTATCGAAAAAAATCTAAATCATTAAAAAAGAATCTGTGAATGATTTTCGGTCACGATAATTTCTCTGATCTTCTTTCATCATAAAGATTTATATAGTTTCATTTGTTATACTAAAAAAAACTGAATAATATATATACAAAATTTCCTTGAGAATTTATGAGGTTATCTAACCTCAACTTTTTCTCATCAATTGAAAAAACAAAATATTCATTATTCACTACAAAGAATCATTTCAGTCATATAAATAAAAGAAGATAAAATCGTATTGCAATCTACACAAAACAGAAAATCTTGTTTCAACACTTAAAGAGTGCTTTTATAAACAACAAATAGATAAATGACTTAGACGACGACAAAACCAAACTGTACAAAAAGAAGAAGAAAAAAGAAATCATTTCGAATGACGATGATGTTGTTGTTGTTGTTGTTGTTGTTGTTGTTTAGCTGCTTGTGGTATCATATCAAGTAAATATTGAGCAGGATTTCCTTGACGCATTAATGAAGCAGCCATAGCTGGTAATGATGCAGCTAATACTTGTTGTTGTTGTTGAGTTGTTTTAGCTGCAAGTGCAGCTGCTTGATTAGCAACAGCAGCAAATGGAAACATATTTGATAAAAAATGTTTTTGAAATAATTCTATTTGTTCATTTGTTGGTAAAGCAGCTAAAGCTGATGTAAATGTATCAACTGGTATTGTCGAATGTTTTGATGAACTAGTTTTTCCACTATGATGATGATTATTATTATTTGTATGTTTATTAGATTGATGATTTGAATTTATTTTTGTTGTTAAAGATTTATTCGAAGGTTTATGATGTGATGATGATGTTGTTGTTGTTGTTGATGGTGGTGGGGGTGGTGATGGTTTAACTATAGTTGATGATTGTTGTTGAAATTTAGCATCAAGTTCTTTTTCTTGTTGTAATGCTTTCATAAATGCTTGTCGTAAACGATTTGAATGATCTTGTTTAAGAATTTTTTTTTGTGATGTTTTTCTACAACGATCACAAAGAATTTTTTCATCTTTATTATTAATATTATCATTTATTGATGATATATCATGCCATGTTACTGACCAATCAGTACCACATTGAGCACATATATATGGTAATGATATTGAAAATTCTGATGAAAAACGACGATTACCAATATCTGTATATGTATTATATGCTTGTTCAAGACCAATTAATGTTAAAAATTCTGCCCAACCATTTATACCAGGAATATAAGTTAAATCACATATAGATGGTTTAGGTGTTGGAATTTGTAAAAGTGTTTGTTCAAGTTGTTTACGTAAAGCTAATTTAGCATTTAATAAATGTTGATCTGTTGTTATTCCATTACCTATGAAAGATAATAGAGAAGATTATGTAAGAATATTAATGAATAGATATTTCTTTTGTTTTTTTAGTATTATTTTAACTTCTATTTTATTCGATAATATATATATATATCCGAAGTTAGTTGAATGACATTAGTGAATTATCTTATGAAGATGAGCTTTTAATTGAATTTTTCTTTATTACAAATCGAACAAATAAAAAATGAACTTTACTTATTATATTAAAAAAAAAAAACGGAAGTATACAAAATGATTTGTTGACTCATCAAAACATTAAATTTTTCTTTTCTTTTTTTTTTACATTGAGTGAAAGATCATATCACGTTGAGTAATCAAGTAATAAAACTTGTTATTTTACATACGATCGAATTTACAAGAAGATTTATATAGTATAATTCTTTCGTTTTCTTCTTTATGAAACATTATCTCATAGTTAAAAATTCAACATATCAAATCTATTATATTGATATTTTAAATAATATCTTTCAAAAATTTGATTTATCTATCATTTTAAAAATGAAAAATAGCTTTTTTTTCTAATATATTTATTTTCTATGATAAAATATTGATATCATTATGTAATCGAAATTGATATATAAATTTCGAATATGTAACTGAAATAGAACACTTGATAATGATCAAATTTCTTTATATCAACAATATTTAACTCAACTGATTATAAAATATTGATTTTTTTTTTGAAATCAATTTATTCTCGATATATTTTTCAATAGAAAAAAATTATTCATTTAAAACTATACTTTTTGAAGAATTATTTGTTATTGATGATGATAAAGAAGAATTTTTTGTAGTTGAAGTTGATGATAGACGAGTAGCTGTTATTGGTAATGTACTATTAGTTGATTGACGAGTAGCTTGAGGTAATAATTGAGAAGATTTTGAAGTTTGTTGTTGTAAATTATTATTTGATCGATTAACTGTATATTGATTTGGATGTGGTGGTTTAGTTGGTATTGATCGATTTGTTAAATTCTATAAAGAAAAAGTTTTTTTGTTTTTTGTGAATTCAATAGAATAATTATTAATATATTTTTTTGTATACCAATGATTGTTTTGTTGGTGTAGTTGAATTTAATTTTGTTGTATGAACAGGCGTAGTTGTTGTTGTTGCTGTTGTGGTGGTGGTGGTGGTTCGTTGATTAGTATTATTTGTTTGTGATATAATTCGTTGATTTGTTTTAAGTTTTTGCATAAGAACAAGTAAAGCTTCTTGACATTGTAATTCATATTGAAGTTGACGATATTCTGATGTCATTTCTTGTTTACTACTATTATGAATTGTCATCTTTGACGATTGTTGAGTTTTATTTGTTGTTGATAATAATAATAATGATTTTTGATGTTCATTATGATGAATTTTTCTACAAAATTTTTTACAAAAAAAAAAAAAAAACAAAATAAATATTCTTATATTTATTATTATTGTTTATTTATTTTTCAATATAGAATAAGAAGAACGAAACTAAATTTTGTATGTTAAGATGTATATATATATAAATATACATGACGAGTAAAAGCAGCGAGGTTCGATTTAATGTTCGGAAGCAATGAATGGCGGAAGGTAGGATGCAAGAAGAAAAAGAGAGAAAAAAAAAAACAAGGATGGATGAAAATATCTATCTGTTGGAACGCGATTACTAATGTCGACGATGAGGACGACCAATTGAACGTTACCACGACAATGATTATATTTATATAGAAAAAACAAAAAAAAAAAGGAGAAGAAAAAAAAATGGATGAATGAATGAACGAAAGAAACAAGACAGCGGGCAAGCGGGCGCAACGTCTTTCTCGCATTGACTTACCCATCATAAGAAGTACCACGGAATCGTTTTGTTGTTGTACTTGTTATTATATTATGATTATCTGCTACTACGGATGTTGATGATTTACGTTTGAGACCATTGCTTGATATCATTATGTTTGTTTTTTCAATCTGAAACTTTGAAGTGAAAGAAAAAAAAATAAAAACTTATAGATATTGATTATGATATATGAATATTTAATTTCTGGAATAACTAAAGAACAAAAACAAAGAACATATGATGAATAATAAAAAGACACAGGTGAGAAACAGAAACTTCTCGTCTAATACGATTCCATTCTATGCATGTTACAGTGTTTTGTTTACCGGCAATGTTGGACGTGGCAGAAAGGGTTATTCATCGCTATCATGTGTCTATTCGCTCTTTTTTTTTGCTCGACGAACATAACTTACCCTTGTATTCTAGTTTTTTTTCCATTCTCTTATATATATATATTTTTTTTTTTTGTTGGTAAGAAGGGTTGATGTTTTATCGTCATAATTGTTATTCAGCGTATTATAAAATCTGATTTTAACAAAATGCTTGTGCAATAACACATATCTTTCAGTCATTTAACTTACATTTATGATAAAAAAGAAAGAAAACGATGAATGTAAACTTGCATTTCAAACAAATGAATTTCTTTATTGTAACAATGAACAATGACAAATAAAGTTCAATGTTCGAATTGCTTCTAACTCAATTGAAGATATATACATATATATATATAATGAATATAACCATCATTCATCGAACTAGTGAATATAGAAATGGACGTTTGCAATATAAAGAAAAAAAAAAGAAGGAAAAAAAGAGATGTCTACACACACATTATGATAGAGAAAGAACTATACATGCTTTAACTAACCTTCCCCAAACAACACATATACTATGGCGACGAGTCAAGCGTATTCTATTTTTTTCATCTCTCCTTATTCTCCTTTGCTTTTTTTTTTTTTGCAGAAAATGTCATTAAGAAAAGACAGCCATAGCGTTCTAGTCGTAAACAAATAAATAAGTCATCGTTATTCTCTTTACATATTATTCTACTCTCTTTTATCCACAACAATAGTGATGGTTTTTATATCGATATCACATACTTGCTAGATTTCTAGTTTGTTTCTGAATAGAAAAAAAACTATATATAAATATATATATAACGCGAACATATAAGCGTATTAAAAAGAAAAAAAAAGAAAAAAAAAATCAACAACTATACTCTATGTCGTTTTGCATCTTTATTTTTTTTTTCTCTTTTTTCTCTTTTTTTTTCTCATTTTTCAATGACAAAACGAATATGAACACATTGCCCATAAGAACGAGCAATGGCAATTGTGCAAATAGACGACTGCAGACACTCGCGCAAGCACTCTCTCTCTCTCTCCCTGTTGCACGCATATAACACATGAAAATCATGCAAAGAGATGAGGACGGGACGAGGAGAAAAATGTGAAAATCGCAAGTCGACTCGAAGGACAGGACACGTTAGTTAAGAAGGAGAAGAGAGAAAGACAATGCAACCACAAATACACTAAATATGGAGCATAGTGAGACAGGATGGTTGAATATCTTTTGATCTATTCGATAAACACAAACATTTTTGTACAGGAGTATTCTCTAAAATAATAAGAATATCATCTGATTGATACATGGAAAAATCTATATATATATATGGTATTAATTTGATCAATAACAAAAAATTTATATGAAAACGTGACAAAAAGAATTAATCTTATTTCCTTATATATATCGAAAAAAAAAAAAATATATATATATAGAAAATTATGTTTTCAGATAAGCATAGATTTCTAAAATAGAAAAAATTCTGATTTCATAAAATTGCTAAACATACTTCTTTGATCCTTTTATACATAAAATAAATTCAAAAACTGTAATGATTAAATATCTTGCCTAACTTATTAATTATATTTAAATCTATTCAAATATAGGATTATTTATTAAAGATAATTATGACAAGTACATTATTTCTAGGATATGACATATTACTCATAAAAATAAACGAAAGAAACATCTGTAGTTAACAATAAATATAAACTTTATTTATAAATTCTACCTTAAATTTCCTTCTCTTTTTTTAATTTAATTTTCTTTTACTTTTTTTTTGTCCCAAGCGTAATCGAGATTAATAAAAAGAATCTTTCCGGATGTTGACTTGACTAACGCTATGAAATATTTTAAATCATATGAATTAAAGATACTCTATATACAAAGGTTATCATGATCAGAGAAAAATGCCGAGGTCATATATATATATATGGAAATGTATTTTGTACACACACACACAATTGTTCATTATAGATCTACTATATATCAACTAATGTTTTATATAATCCATATCTAATATACGATAGTTTTGCGCATTTGTAATCAGAATAAAAACAACAATAAGAAGAGCAATAACGACGGTGCTTCTGTTGTTGACGACGAATGCCAAACAAGAAAGACACCAAAAAAAAAAACCGAGAAGGAAAAAAAAAAAGAAAAGCTCACATATTCCTGTAAAATGTTCTGTGTGCTAACCCTTCTTTTACCAAACATCGTTCTCGCATATTCACGGATATTTTTTCTATACTTACTAGTAGAATCAATTCACATGAGAAAGAAACAACAAGAAAAAATAGCAAGAGAACAACGTTAATATACTTTTCTTAAAGAAATATTGTATATCAATCAAATAAATAATCATAATTATTATCTTATTTATTTAAGGAAAACAAAAAAAAGAAATGTATTTTTTAAAATAAAATATCGATTTATTTTTATGTGTGTGTATATATTCAGATGTTTATTTATTATCAATATAAAAACAATCAAAATAGAAATTTTTTATTTTTTAAATGATAATTTTTCAAGAAATTTTTGTTTTCGTTCATTTATTTCAACAATAGAATCATTTGTTTGTTGCATTTTTTTAATAATTTTCATACGTTTATTATAAAGTTCTGAATTTTGATCATATGAATACGTGTCATTAGTTGAATTTGTATTAAGACGAAGTTTAGTAATACGATCAAGTAAAGTTGATGAAGAAGTTAAAAATTTTTTTTTCTTTATTGATTCATCACGTTCATTTTGTTGATTATCATCATCGGATGATGATGAAATGATATTTGAGAAGAAACCATCGTTCTAAAAAAACAAACACGAGAGACAAAAAGATTAAACATGATAATTATTAACGTTTTTTTTTTCTTTTATAGATTTAAGTTCTATTATTAAATATATAAATCTCAACAAGATCATTTATAATTGGATTTTTATTACGAAAAATCTATTAGTAATAATGTGCTATGTTTAGAAATTTATCATTCAAGAATACATCAAAGTATTTATGATATTATTAAATTCAAGAGACACTTCACAATCTATAGTCTATAGTTGTTTACTTAAAGCTTTATTCTATGTAAAAGTTGAGCAAATATGTATAGAGAACAAAAAAGACTTCGAATTTTCATTTACGAGAAGGATATACTTTTTAGTTAATTGATAAATATCAATGATTCGTTTATAGATAGTATATAATGTTCTTAGAAAATTCTAAGAGAATTTAGGTTACTATGATCAAGCTATTGAATTTTTTCTTTTCTAAAGGTTCGAGACTTTCGAAAAACTTGTATATTTTTTTAATAATTTTGGTCTAAAATTTTATACTTATAGAGAAATCAACTAGATTAATTTCCATGAAAAAATTTAAGAGTTTTGAACAAAATTTTTCGCAGATATTAAGCGAAAAAAATAGGATCGGTTTCAACAAAAACATGAATCGATTCGATCTCTGATATGAAACACTCAAAAAATCATGATCTTAAAAGTCAAATGTTTTAAATCAAGCGACAATTCATTGCATCTCTAACAGAAGATTAATTCTTAATTTCCTTTTCATCAACCTTAATAACCAGGCATATAATTCAATAAGACATAGTACCACGCGAGGATGAGATCAGCAAGTGAAAAATAAAGATTTACTCTATGGAATGAATTTTGAAAATAATCTCACTGATAAACAGTAATTGAATATCGAAAACCACAACAAACAGAAGCTCGATAAAAAAAAAAAAACTATATGAATTATGTAAGATTTTTAAATCATAATGTTAAGAAATTTTATTTTTCAATATTTCATAATCATACTCTCGAACAATTTTTCTTACATATCTTTCCATATAAACATCAGTTGGACGTTGTCGTGGTACAAGATTACTTTCTTCAGCTAATACTTGATAATCAACTGGATCATCATCATTTTCGAATTCAGAATTTTTACTAATATTTAAATCTCTTTTAATAATATGTTCACGTATAATTTTTTCACGTTCTTCTTCATCTTTAATATTAAATAATGATGATGGTGAACGTGATCGAACTTGCATACGACGTTTTGTACGTTGTCGTAAAATTAATCGAACATTTTCAATAGAATAATTAAAACTTTCTGCTAACATACCTATTGTCCAACGTTCTAAAACAAAAAAACAACAAGCAAAATTTTATGTTTTTTTTATATATTGAATAGAAATCATTCAATAATATACTTGGATAATTTTTATGTAAAAATTGCATATGATTTTTAATATATGGATCTATTTTAATATCACTTGGTTTTGCTATATATTTACGTCGTAGAATATGATATCGAATAGTACGTTTTCGTTTACGTTGTTGTCTATAAATAAGAAAAACAAAAAAAAAAAAATTTTGAATTTATAGATTTTTTGTTTTAATCTTTTAAGTAATTGGTTTGAATATAGAACTAAACTTTTAAAATATAATTGAATAATTGTATGTAAAAAAAGAAGAATTTTTTCCGTTCAAGGAAATTATTTTTGTTAGAAAAATGAAAAGAATAAGTATCATAGAACTAAAATTTGTTTGAAGTTAGTTTTCTCTTAGGAATTCATTATGTTTATACAAAACGATTTTTTTTTTTTTTTTTTTTGGTATTTTTGACTTCAAAAAAAAAGAATGATCTGAATTCAGTACATCAGATAAAATTAATTTTTCTCTATTCATAGATGGTGTTTTTTTTTGTTATAGAACTATATTTTTATTATTAGAATGAACTTTAAAAGAATGAGAAAAATTTTTTGTACTG